ACGTCGTTCACGTAAGTGGAGGATCGTGGCAATCCGCCGAATGTCCGTCGCATCCCTTTCTGCATAGTCTGTGGAGCTTTGCAAAATCCAAATGTCATTTGGAGGTACTCGTACTTGCCGTCATGTGTTACGAATGCCGTTTTGTGGATGTCGTCCGGTTTCACGCGTACGGTGAGGAAAACTGTCGTTACACCATTATGTTGAACTACACCCGTGAACGATATGAAGGTGAACAGCCCTCTTCTTGTTTTTGAAGCTCCTGCAAGTTTTGGAACAAGCTCTGTTCCAGAAGAGGGCTAGAACGCAAAGTTTCAACCCCCAAGCCACGTACCATTTGAGACGTTGGGAGTAAATATAGCTTTAGGGAGCCGTAAAACAGGCAAACAACCAGGTAAGGTGTTCACCTTCATATTGCCGGCGGGTGTACTTCGACTGGTCACGCATTATATCGTCGATCACATCCTCCATGATGATCATTGGATATGACGGATTCACAGCCTTCGAGTTCAGCTTCCTGTAGTCGTGAACCATCCTTCGCGGAGTTGTTGGGTGGTGCGATTGATCCACAACGATCGTCAGTGCGGCATACTCGCTCTCGCTTGGCTGTATGATTCCCTTCTGGATGTAGTCGTCGACCTGACTGCGGATAAAGTTTCTGTCCGCTGGGGAGCACCTGTACGCTCGGGATACGACTGGTATGTCGTCCCGTAAATTGACGAAGTGTTCGGCGTGCGGGCAAAGTCCGAGTGATTCTCCTTTTGTCACGAAGGCTTCGTTGGGCCGCGTGAAAATACACCGTAGTTTGTCCGCTTCTTCGGGTGTCGCGTTTTTTGTCATTTCTGACACCGCCTCCTCGATATCCTGAAGCAACTCTTTGTTTGGAGTCTATTTTTTCGTGTTGAATCTTACGTATTCCGTCTCTTCAAAGTCGGTCGGTGTAGTACCTTCTCGTTTGCAGAATGAAACGATTAGTGTCTCTGCGGTTCTGCCCTTCGGATACGTGGGTGTCGTTGAATCGCGCATGTCGCGTGCGAATTGCTCGTTGTTGTCGTTCGGTATTTGCACGATCGTGACATCGTTCGATGTATGGAAAGTCACATCAACGTTGGCTTTTTGGCGCCAGTCAGATCCCAGTATCACATCTAAAGGCGCTGGCAGTGGAACGATAACTACGTTGGGAAGCTGCGTTCGTGTGGTACCAACAGTGATGTCCAGCTTTGTTGTGCTTTTCGGTTCAAGCTTGCGATCAAGGACATGGATGTGCTCTTGCCCGTTCCATGGGTTCGTTTTCGTGTCCACGTGAAGCGCGAATGGTGCGATGATGGAGACGTTAGCACCGCTGTCGATGCAGACTTTAACGGGTGTATCATTGTGCACAAATCCGTCGACAATTGGAGGCTGCCTCCAGTGGATCGTAGAAAGCAGTTCGCTTGTCGATTCGTAACTGAGCTCTTGACGTTGGACATTGAGCCAGTGTTGCGTCGTTTTTCTGCACGGAGTGTTGCCGTCGTTTTGGGTTTGGTGCAATCGCGTGACAGGTGACCGGATTCACTACAATTGAAGCACTGTCGGGAGGCTGGCTTCTTGAATAGGCTGCTCGGTGCGGATTTTGATGTTCGGCGTTGAGTGTTGGTCTTTCCTGACGATCTTGATTGCTGTGCCTGCGTGCTTGATCTTTCGGTGCGTCTTCGACAATCGAGCATGGCTGCGCGTTCGATCAGTTCGATAACCGTTTTGCAGCACTGCGCGGCTAACGGGTTAGCCCAATTGTCGTCCTTTATCCCGTTCAGAATGAGGGATATGCGTTCTTCCATAGCAAGCGTATATGGTGCCATGTCGAGCTTTGCGTTTTTAGAGTAAACGTATTGGACGATCGACTCGCTTTCGACGAGTTGTCGTTTCTCTTGGAACTCGAGGAATTCCTGCATGGTCATTTTTCGTTTGAACCTCTCCGTGATTTCGTTTTTCCAAGGGTCCCAATCGTTGATTTTTGATCCGTATGATGATTGCCAATCTTTCGCTGATCCACGGAGTCGTGAAATGGCGCTCACGAGGGCAAGTTGAGGTGTCCAATAAGCTAGGGCTGCGATACGTTCCACCTCGGCGATCCAGAGTTTGATGTTGGTCTCGACGGCACCGTCGTAGATGGGGATTGCTGTTGAGGTGTCGCTTGTTGAGTGTACCTGCAGTGGTTGCCCCTGTCGTGCCATGGAACCTGAGATTCGGGCCCGCGTCTCGACGATCATCCCGAGGAGATGGGTGATTTCGTGTCGTTCGTTTTCGTGTGGAGTCGACGTTCGCGGGGGAACTTCGGAAGTGATAACGTTACTCTGCGTGGGCGTCGGTCGCGCTTGGATGTTGCTTGGCTCCAGCCGTTGCACTGTCGGGCCGTTGCTGATAGCCGCTGCTGCGTCGTCGGGAACGTCTGAGGCCTTCGTCAAAGATACGGCTTGGTAGAGGCGTTGCATCTCGGCTTGTAGGCGTTCGACATCGGCTTGGAGGTTGTTGTTGGCTGTGGAGACTTCCTCGATGCGAGCTTGGTGCTCGTTGCGAGTCTCGCGGACGGACGTGAGGGTTTCCACCGTGCCTTCAGCTTCTCGCCGATTGGCGTTGTCGTCTAGAAGTCTGCGGATGAGTTGCTTTTTTGGTCCGCTGCATGGCAGATGACGAGACCTCAGTTCTTCCACCAGCTCATATTTGGAGAAGAGGTGAAGATCATCAGCGTTCACTGCGTTCAAAGCGTTGTTGACCGTAAAGCGTTGCTCCTTGGTTCCGCTTTCGTTGACGCTCGTTGACGGGTTGTGGCCGCTCGTACCCTCCGTTGATGTCGGCCGCGCCATGTCAGGTTATTCGTTGGGTTTTTTGGGAGTTCGTAGCTGATCGTAAGTTTAAGGCGTAGACTGAGATTGATTTAAAATTAATAAGACCTTTATTAACTGGGGTTACAATCGGTTTCACAAGGTTAAATTATGTCGGAAGGAAGAGCGGTCGTCCCGTCCGTTTCTTACGGCGTCCCGGAGTCGTCTCTCTTGCGAAGGGGCTTCCCCTCGGTGAGACGTAACCTGACGCCTTGCTCCTCTCGCCTCCGAATCACGCCCGGGTCACGTAAACCGGGGGGCCTGATTTTGGGGGCTCCACGGAGGTGCAATGGGAAAGCCCAGTCCGGACGAATTTTTCGGTCGACTGCCTCGGTCTCTGTCTGACAGGCTCAGTGGCCGGCCCTCCGCGCGGAAGGCGCTTGACGCTGACACCACTAATCATTCGAAGCAGAGCTGGGCGTTCTGACGTCTCCTCTCCTTTCCTCCGCTCCCTAACTTTCTCGGCGCATATGATCCGCCCTAGCTATGCTCTACGTCTAGGGGTAAAGACTCTACCATCGAGCCGATACCGTAGTCCCTCGAGTACCGGAAGACTGCCTTGGCCTCGCTCAAAGGAAGCGGTACGTAGTCCATCGCAAGATCCTCACCGGAAAACAAAGTCGCCGCCGAGTGAGTGACGCAACTCTCTGGGCCCTGACGAACCATCGCAATGAATTCAAACTAAGCGGTGTTTTTTTTTTGTTTTTGTTTTTTTTGTGGGTCAAGTATTTGTAGTTTATTTCTATGTTTCAAGTTTCACGAGACTTTCTTTTCATTCATTCAGCTGTCATAATTAAATGACTTTCTTTACCCTCGTTGATTTATACGCGGGTCCTGCGTCTGCCTCTTTTTTTCTCGTACCCTCGGAGGAATAGGACAATGACGAAGAACTCCTTTTCACGAATTCAGGTGACAGGATGTCGACAAGGTTTCAGGTGACACATCACACATGAACCAAAACCGCGGTTCCTCATCGGACGTCTACGGATAAATTATTCGCGATGAGCACCTCTCGAGGGGCGCTTCTGTTTTCGTCACTCTGAATAGTGCACGTGCTACCCACGCGGTTATGCCTTAAATTGCACACTACTGCCACTACATAGGCAACGCTCCAGTGCATAGAAGCTTGGCATTGCACGTGCTTGCACCAGCAGAAAAAGTTGAAGTATCCTCACTCCGGGTTGTGAAAGAATTCTACCAGGTGACGATACCCAAACTTCTCGCAGCGAATAACTCAAAAAGTCAATTTTTCCGTGTATTTCCATAATGCTCTTTGCTGTACTCAAGATGCTTCCCGCGTGGGAGGCGAAACGTTAAATTAACCTGTTTATCTTGTTAAAGGGACGGTGCAACGATATTCGCTTGGAAAGTTTTCCACCTTACAAGAGCTTACTGGCACTAGTGAGACCCAGGTATACTCGGACACAACTCCACTCCAACAAACGTTTTTGTTGCGGTGTAATCTCAAGGACGAAAGCGAGCGTTTTCTTTTTTCAATCTTTCCTATGCAAAACTTGATGACGTAGCTGGAAGATCGCAGTATCCCCCAATGACGATTTTTTGATGCGGCTCATAGATTGCACACAAGCATTGCGTGAGCACTCGGTTTGGGCTCGTGATAATCAATAACTCGACAAGCATACGGGTTGCTGCAATCGTCGCTGCAATGACGACAACAGCCGGACCATAACAATGTCTGCAACTCAGCGCGTTTCCTGTGCTTTGCCAACCCAAGCGCGTGGCTATGATCAACATTGGCGGCATATAATGGGCTCCAGATCACGTGGCCGCTTGTTCTGGCTGCGAGTTGAGGCGGTGAACGCTGCTCGTTCTTCTTTAATTTTTTTCTGCGACTTCTTGATCGTGTGGTGAAAAACGATCGCGTGTTGCATAGCTCGATCATTAGCGTTAGGGATTCGTTCTGAGCGGAATTTGCGCAAAGTACAAACATCGTTGCATCGCCCCTTTAAAGTCAAGCTGCTTGTCCCGTAACCTCTACCGTGTGTTCTCCCGGCCCTACTTTTTGCATCTAGTGAAGGCTTCAGCCAACCGGAAGCAGCGATGCGCCAAAGGGGCCAGCGTGTCACTGCCCCGACCCGTAGCCCACATGAGCGGCTCGGAGCGCCCGGCCGACGCCCTCACCGCTGGATCCTCCGCAGATGCGTCGTCCGTCGTACGGGTTGTTCGTGCGTCCGTGAAGGTTGTTGTACGACTCCCACCACATGCACAGCTCGGGCACGTTGGTCACGGCCAGCGGGATGGCGCCCGCAGCACGCATCAGCGCCATGCCGTCCGCGTCCCTGGGGGCCCGGAACCCAGCGCGGGCCACCAGGCCGGAGTCCTGGAGCATGCCTGCGGGACGGAGGAACGCAAAGGCCGGCTTAATCTAGACGCAAAGCAAAAGCGCGATAGCAGCTACTCTCGAACCCGACTTTTTGGGGGTCCACTGACCTACCAAACAGACATTTGCGCAACACGGAGGAATTTACTCTTCCCGCCACGCTATTTATCATCTCTAAATTCAAAATAGCTATAACGAAAATTTGAAACAAAGCTGACCCCCAAAGCGACATTCAAGCTTTCCTACGCTCTCCAGTGACGCCACACCACCTAGATAACAAGCCCCCCAAAGTAATCACTGGTGGACCCAGGAAGCGCCGCCTAGCTTTTGTCAGTGCATAGCCTCCTATACTGACAAAACCTGGCAGATCGCCAAGACAAGCGGCCACCGAAATGGAAAAGGTTGAGCGGCAGACAACGGATGAGAGGAGAGTCACGTGACTGGCGCCACGTGACTGGCGCCCCGCTGCGGCGAGACGCCGAAACGCAGCGTCTCACCGCTGCGGCGAGACACGAGGACCAGAAACTGTGTTTCGGGTCTTCGCCACTGAAAAAAAAAAACTTTGCGCAGATGTCCAGGTTCCCCGAGAAATGGCTCTTTGACGCTCCGTCCTACCAGATCCTCGCGCTTTAAATCTGCGACTGAGACTCTAAGGCTCCGTCCTCGAACTGCCAGGCTTTGTTAATATAGAGGAGGCTATGGTCGGTGTCGTCGCTAGCGCGCCTTGCGGCGTCTCGGAACAAGTGCAACGCTAGCAGGCGGCGACGCCAAGACGAATGCGTCTGCCGCTCTCCGGGGGCTTCCGTCCAGCATCGGCGTGCATGTTGGCCGATTGGGGCGGATTGGGCACCGACCAGCGATGACGTCGTCCGCAGGCCTCGTCTTCTAGCTAGTGTTGGTTGGCATAATCACGTGTGGTATAAATTTACCAGCCGAGCAGACAGTTTTAAAAACCGCAGTGTTTCAAACAACTTTTTTTTTAATTTTAAGTGAAACGTCATTTGGCTAGTTGCTTCGGATTTCGTGGAGCCGCATTTTGTGAAGGCCTGGCCCGTTACGTCCCATAACGCAACGCGCGGAGTGTTGCACAATGGGACGTCAGACCTACGCTCCAATTCAGTTTCTCCGCTCAATTTAGCGGGGAAGTTGAATCGGTCAATAGGTCACGTGACATCGAGTCAAGTGACGTCAATTTCCCCGTTAACTTTCGCGGAAAGATTAACGTCCCGTGACCGACAAACAAATTCGGTTTCCCCGCTATATTTAGCGGGGAAATTGACGTCACCTGACGTGATGTCACCTGACCTATACGGCAATTTAGTTGCTCTTCTAAATTTAGTGGGGAAATTAACATCACGTGCCCTGCACAGAAAATCAGTTTACCCGCTAAATTTAGCAGAAAAATCGACGTCACGTGACCATGCTAGAACATTTTACGTATGCAACACAATTGCCTAGCAATGTGCCATACGTCTGGTTTTATTTTATATATTTTTTTTTTGTTGCTCAGTATTTTTGGGGCGAAGCTCCTAAAGGCCCTGTCACATTGAGGAAACACGGCGGAAACATGAACAAAACATGTTTCCCAACAGTCGGGAAACATGTCGGCTGTCGGCTCTGTTGCCCGACAACCCTGTCACATTGAGGAAACAGCAACACAACATGGACGACAGCGACAATGTTGTCTCGGTGTGACAGCTTTTGGCAACGGAAACCTCGACAACTTGTGTCGGACGACACGTGTTGCCCATTTCGGTGGCTGAGCGAATTTTTTTCCAGCAACACGGCAACATCTATATTTTTCTGTACAGATAGTCGCACGAGAATACTTCAATAATAACGTCAAGCGTGAAGGGCCATTTTGAAGGCGGCTTCTTGCGCGGCGGCAGGTGATCGTCAGAATCATCTGAATCGATGGCACAAAGAAGCACCCTGTCACACTGCGGAAACAGTCGGAGACCTTTGTCCTTCAACACGAGGAAAACATGTTTTCGGGGACCCTGTCACATTGTGGAAACAGCAACAGTCCGGAAACATGTTGCTGCAGTCCGAAAACCATGTTTCCCAACTTGTTCTCCGACACTCGGGGAACATACTGTCACACCGAGAAAGCGTGTTGGAAGAACACAAATTGCCTCCTCTCCTGCGCGCTGCCTCCCTCTCTCTCTCGCCCTCGTCTGCCCGGCCGGCTCGGCTAAGCTACAAGCGCGAGCTCCGGGCTTTCAGCATCCCTGCCAAGCACGCGCGCTCGTGCAGTGCAAGCACTGTTCTGTGCCAGATGCTCGCGTGGCTGCGTCTGGACTGAAGCTGAAACGAAGTATAGGCGGCTAGGCTCAGATCCGCTGGCTCCGCTCGCCCCTTGAATCGTTGCCATTTTGGATCGACGTCTCATCGACGTCGCTCTACCGTAGTCGATTCATCAGCCGCGCGAACCATCTCGTGTTCTCTGGATTTGGCGGTTGCGTTCTGCTACAGGGCTAGACCCTTGCAGGATGGCATACGCGCCGGCCACAGCAGCAGCTTCTGCTTTGGTACTTCTTTGTGCCATCGATTCAGATGATTCTGACGATCAGCTGCCGCCGCGCAAGAAGCCGCGTTCAAAATGGACCTTCACGCTTGACGTTATTATTGAAGTATTCTCGTGCGACTATCTGTACAGAAAAATATAGATGTTGCCGTGTTGCTGGAAAAAAATTCGCTCAGCCACCAAAATGGGCAACACGTGTCGTCCGACACAAGTTGTCGAGGTTTCCGTTGCTAAAAGCTGTCACACCGAGACAACATTGTCGCTGTCGTCCATGTTGTGTTGCTGTTTCCTCAATGTGACAGGGTTGTCGGGCAACAGAGCCGACAACCGACATGTTTCCCGACTGTTGAGAAACATGTATTGTTCATGTTTCCGCCGTGTTTCCTCAATGTGACAGGGCCTCAAAGCAGAAGCTGCTGCTGTGGCCGGCGCGTATGCCATCGTGCAAGGGTCTAGCCCTGTAGCAGAACGCAACCGCCAAATCCAGAGAACACGAGATGGTTCGCGCGGCTGATGAATCGACTACGGTAGAGCGACGCCGATGAGACGGCGATCCAAAATGGCAACGATTCAAGGGGCGAGCGGAGCCAGCGGATCTGAGCCTAGCCGCCTATACTTCGTTTCAGCTTCGGTCCAGACGCAGCCACGCGAGCATCTGGCCCAGAACAGTGCTTGCACTGCACGAGCGCGCGTGCTTGGCAGGGCGGCTGAAAGCCCGGAGCTCGCGCTTGTAACTTAGCCGAGCCGGCCGGGCAGACGAGGGCGAGAGAGAGAGGGAGGCAGCGCGCAGGAGAGGAGGCAATTTGTGTTCTTCCAACACGCTTTCTCGGTGTGACAGGATGTTCCCCGAGTGTCGGAGAACAAGTTGGGAAACATGGTTTTCGGACGACAGCGACATGTTTCCGGACTGTTGCTGTTTCCGCAATGTGAGAGGGGTCCCCGAAAACATGTTTTCCTCGTGTTGAAGGACAAAGTTCTCCGACTGTTTCCGCAGTGTGACAGGGCCTTTAGGGTCTCGCCTTGTCCGTCCGGCGTCCGTGCTCACATCGATCTTGCTGGTGCTCGTGATCGTGCTCGTGAGCTCACGTGCTCGTGTAGGACAAAAAGAAATTAAAAAAAAAAAAAAGAATCTTTGCGCATTCGAACCTGTGCGGGAAGACCTCAATGGATTTCTAGTCCATCGCCTTAACCACTCGGCCACGACAGCGGGACGAGTAGGGGGCTCTGAGATGTGGTAGTAACTCAAGAGCTGGGGATGTCATGAATGAAACGTTGCATGTAGCCGCCCAACGTCTATACAGGAGAGGGCGCTGCGGTCAAATGCGTATATAATCGCGTTAAACTTTGCATGCATTGGCTCAACGTTTATAGACGAGAGGGCGCTGCGATCAAATGCTCAAATGCGTATATAACCACGTTCCATACCACACATTCTCTTTCTGACATGGATGAAAGCAAACGAAAGGCTCGGCATACTGCGGCTCAGCATCTACGCAGACAAGCACCACAAGAGCTTCGCCCCAATCAACAATATTCACCACGTGGAGATGCGGTCATTTTTTTGGTACTCGTTTCACCATGATGACCTGAGACTGGAGCAGAGGGAGGAAAGTATCTTGACAGTGGTAGAAAAACAAAAAACAAGAGGAGCAGACAACGTATCTCTAATTAGAGACGCTCTCTGTCCCTGTTACTTCTTCTATGTACTATCGCGGACAATATGAGCTGAAACAGCGCTCCGGCCGACGCACGGTACTACCTGCGCTGCCTGTCGCCTTGCTCCGCACACATGGCGCACCCTGAGTACGAGATAAATTCTCACTTGTGCTCGTTGCGCCACTGCGCTCTTCCGGCCGTCTGCAAGCGAGACGGCAGGTGCGACAGTGGGCATGTGTGTGGTAGGGCGGCGGGGGGAACAAAATATTACACTTGTCGTCTCTCGTTTGGAATTGATTTACTTTATCGCGCAGAATTCAGTAAAAAAAGCGCTGACTGGTGAAGAACAAATATTGAAATGTTCTAAATTTCAGCTGCGATTATCGTTTTTGAAACTCACTTCAAAAGACGTTGCAAGTTGTTTTTGTTTGATTATAGGTGCATGCACAAAGTAGGACATCGCAAAATATTGGCCAAAAACTGTGTGCCGGATTTATATGGCTCCAAGGTATTTACTTTTTTTTTTTTTCATTGATCACAAATGTTTAAAATAAAAAAAAAATAAAAAACGGTAAGCGTATACATGTTATTGAGAAGGTTTTGTAAGCTTGATTGGTATGAAAAGGGTCAGAAAGTATTATTTCTTTATTACTGGGCCCACGTGTTTGTTAAAAAAAAAACTTGCTGACAAAACACCAGTTTTTTTGTTGTTTTTTTTGTTTACAAATTCCTAGTATTAATAAAGTGGAACAAACAGTCATGTATCTGCCAGGAGAAGGAGACTGAAACTTAATCGAAAAAATATTTGCAGAGGACAATGTCAGACAG